TTTGTTCTTAATTCTGTTGTTCATTCACTCTTTGAAACAAGCAAACATAACTAAAAGGCTTACGTTTTTCAAAAAAACAAAAATAAAAACCTTTGAAGAAAATGTTCTTTTTTATTTTTCATAAGAAATTATTTAAGAGGATACAATTGAAATGGTTTGCCATTTGGTGAATTAAATTTGGAGATTTTTTATAGGTGATGAATGAATGTTTTTACTTATTCATCTTTAATAAGGTGGATAATTGAAATTTCATAAGGCAACACCAAATTGATAATATGATATTGAAAACATGAGCTGGACATTTTAAGCACCTTAATCATTCGGTATCTTTATATACATCGCGGGCTGAGCCATGATAAATTTATGGTAGAAAGATTTGACACATGTTGAACTTGAAGTTACAACCAAAACAACGCAAAAAAACACCCATAATCCTCAAAAAGTCGAAAAAAACCAGTACCGCTATATTGGGGCTATCGTAAAAAGCAGACCATACATTTTTTGTATACACTCCACGGGTAATCCAATGCGTCTAACAAGGCCTGTTATCTTTTATGGTCGGAATCGGGATAATTGAAGAGTAGTTGTTTTTTCATCTGCTCACATGGCTTGTATAATTCCATAATTAGCGAATAGCCTGACACAAAGCATTTCTTAGTCTTCCTATGACAATTGTGACCAACATTATCGACCATATACGAACATATACATAATCACATAGTACATTCCCATCATTATACACCCAGTGGACAGACGACGAGACGACCAGTGCGAAATAATCATTTCATTGCCGTCATCATTATGGTCATTATCACGCGTAAGCATACTTTGTCACTTGATGCTTCTTTCCTTCCTAGCTCGCATCGTTAGGCTTTATGAGATTTCTGTTTATTTGTTTACGGTATTTGTTTTGTTTGTTGTTCTTGCTTATTTTTTTGTTATTTTGCTACTGAGCAAAATCGCACGATCACACGATCCTCATATGTATATTCATATTATTATCGTCACAGAACACAGACTCAATGGACGGTATGTTCGTTTGTCGGTCTGTCCATCCATTCAGGGAGCTAAAAGAATTTCATTCATAAAATTTCATGCTTCACTACTCCTTTTCGCAGCCATAACATTGAATGAGAACATTCTACATTATGTGTGCATGTTTGTGTGTTTCATGCTACCATTACGAATCTTTTCACACAGATCGCCCAAGAGCATATACGGTTAACCGGTTTTTGTTGGTCACTTCGTTCACGATGGCTTGACTTCGTTTCTTGGCATCATTTATACCACGATTTCTTATTGGCTGACAAGATCGTGCCGCTTAAATTACAAGTGGCAGTGGGAAAAGCACGACGACACAATGTTATGGTTGCCAACCAATTTTAAAGTTTTTTGAGTCAGGCCATCTTTTGACGGCGATTGAGGTATGTAACCAAAAAGTCGACTGTTCAAACCTGTTCAAAATCGATTTGACGTTTGCCGATGATTGTAAATTCGACTAAAAATTGATTTTTTCATATGAATTGTTGTAAATAGATAAAATTACATACTAAATATGTAATATTTGGGTAATTTGGAGTTTGTAATAATAATAATATTGTAATAATAATAAACCAAATATTTGCGAAGATATCGAAAGTCGATTTTAAAAAATTAATTTTGCGATATTCCCAAAGGTCAAGAGTCCACTATTAGACTTTTCCATATTGAAGTTGATTAGTCGAAAGACGATTTACTTATCCCTTGGGCTAATGGGGATGAAACGGACCATACATTTTGATTTGTTTTTGTCTATTGTATAGCCCGAAAATCATGAAATTGCACACTGTGTTGAGATTTCTTTATATACAATTATCTACCTTCAGTGTTAGGCAGTCATCAACTAAGAGAAAAAAGAATGCGGCCAGTATTGAATGGGGAATGTTTTATAGAAACGAATTCCTTAGCTACTGTTTTTTTATAAAGTTTAGCCCGTGTGATGTATTGCAGCCTTCAAAACCAATGTGCTGTATATGAGCCATTTCCGTTGGAAAATGCAGCTACAAGTCTTAAAATACCGAAATTTGGGTTCGACCTCTATATATGAGTTATTTCAAAATATGAGTTATTTCAAAATATATCATTTTTTGGGCAGACATATTCCAGCCTCCAAAAACCCGAAATGGCAAATTAGAGCTTTTTTTGGTTGGAAAATGCGTTTAAAACCCTGAAAATAGGAAAACAGAGCGGGAGTATCCTTCTACGTGGACGTAGAAGGATACTTTTTGGCAGATTAATGGCAGCCTCTAAAACCCCAAATTTTCGGAAAATGTGTCTGAAATGCCGAAAATTGGGCGGGACCCTTATATTAGGGATATATAAGAACATGTTTGAGTAAGGATATTTCTTTCGTAAATGCATTGCAGCCTTTAAAACCCTAAAATGCCGGAAAAAGCTTTTTCCGTTGGAAAATGCGGCTAGAAACCTCAAACTACCGAGAATTGGGTTGGCTCATATATAGAGTTATGTCAAAATATAATTATTATAATTATAATTTTTTGCACAGACATATGCCAGCCTCCAATATACCGAAATGGCAAATTAGATCATTTTTGGTTGGAAAATTTTCTTAAAATCTCTAAATTCGAAAAACTGGTTTGGAGAATTATATATGGGGTATATGTCTGCGTAGATGGGTGACGACCACCAAAACCGCAAAGTGCCGAAAGAGAGCCTCATCACTTGGAAAATGTGGCTACGTGCCTTAAAATAGCAATAATTGGGTTGGACCTATATATGAAGCTACGTGAAATCATGGACATATATTGCTCATTTCCTGTACAAATAACAGTTCTTTGGATTCGAACTGATATATCCCATTTGTAATATCAGGCATCCTAGGAGTCAAAACTAAATTGCAATTTCAACAGATAGTTAGTCGGAATTTGGTAAATCGACATAGAATTGTATTCCGATAAATAATTTATATGGAGTCTCCAACAAATCTTTCGAGGTGTTGCTAACGGAATGTCAAATTCAATATACACTCCAGCTTATGCTGTAAGTTATAAATTCTATTAGTTTGAAATGCGTGTCAGATATATTTAAAATTCCGAAAATTGGGATGCCGTTATAAGGCGCAGCACAAAAACTTGGACCGATAATCATAATATTTGGTCAAATCGGTTGAAAAACGTAGTCAGTTCCCTTAAATCTCATGTTTGGAAATTACCCTTACCCTTAGGAAGATTAGCTATCAAATAAAATCAAAAATTAAAACCTGACGGTTGTACCCAAACATGGGTCGATATATAAAATTACCAAATATACTAAGAGTTATAGTTATATCTGACCAAGAATATGTATTCACTACGATGTCTCTTATGAATATTTCAAAATTTTATATACCATCCACCTTAAGGAAGGGAATATATCATACCCTACACAACTATGTTGTCAGGGTATTATAACTTAGTGCAGCCCCAAAAGTTTGTAACGCCGCGAAATATTGGTCCTATACCCACCATTAAGTATACCGATCGTCATATCTCGACTAGCTGAGTAGATCTAGACATGTGTGTCGGTCCGTTCCTCTGTCCACCATAATTTGTAAACACGATACAGGCCACAGTTATGGAACAATATTCACGAAGTATTGCATGTAGGATGGGTTCTGGCCAATGAAGATCCCTATTGTTTTTGGTAAAGATCGATGTCTGTTTTGATAAAGATCGGTCAATATTTAGCTGGTCAAATGGACCCTGACTTTTGTGTGAAAAATGACAAAATGTGTATTCTATGGCGTATATATTTACTCCTGAAGAACATATATAGAGCCGAGATGTTTATATTATTTCCAAGAAGAGGGGTCTTTAAACTGATACCAATTATATTGTCGTATGTACTCTGATGTCGGAGTTACACGTAAATATTTACATGTGCTTACAAATTCAGATATTATTTAATAAATCATGAAGTGGACCGAAAACTTATTTGTTTGTGTTTTTGTTTTTCGGTAGACTACAATTATAAGCCGAACATCACAACACAACCAACGGTCAAGGGAATATGGACAAGTAATTAGAAGGACTGTACTGAATATTAGTAATATTCGGAAAATATGTCAGTGTCGGGCAAAAGGGTGCAACTTACACGAAATATTGCCCCGGCTCGGAATAAAAATCCGCAGAAAGTTAGAGTTCCATGGTAGTTGTGTAGGGTATCGTATGGTCGGCCCTGTCCGACTATACTGCTCCGCTCACTGGTTAAATTTGTCAATATTATTATATTAAATGTTCTTTCTGTACATACTGAGAATATTTTTATAACTTAAGTTTTAAATCACACGGCAACCCTGCTCAGCTCACAACAATCTGTAATGCACGCCTAAGACACGAGTGGCACTCAGCGCGTGGCTTAACTTGAATGAAGCTTTAAATCGCAGCAGTGTGTGGCGAACATACTGTGTGTGTGTGTCTGGCTGGGCGATCACACTCGAATACGATACGTCAATTGGGGATTTCGTTCGTGTGCGGTGGAGCATTCTCTCGCATTGTCAAGTGTCTGTCTGCCGTTCGGACTGTCTATTTGGTGGGGAGTCTACTGGGTGGTGTGTGTTTGCGGCTGTGGTGCATTTGTAGATCACCAAATAAAATTATGGTTGTCCCATGAAGACATGATCATTACTTAGAAGAGCGTGTTCAAGTAAAGACGTTCGATTGTTGTGTCGCGTGAGACTACAAACGGATTCTTTTATTCTGCCACAGACGGAATAAAAAAACAAAATAAAAACCAAACCAAATAAAAAGCTAACTAAAACATTGCTAAAATAAATAGAAAACCAAAGTGTTAAATTTTAATTTAACAATAAGTTCGTTTATACATTTTGAAACAAATAAATAGAAGTGATTGTTTTAAACGTTATATTGGGGACGTGCCTAAAACTACTCCATAACTTATTTATAATATAAATAACACCAACATTGTGTACGATTCCTTCGAAAAGTCGTTGTGCCAAAAATCTGTTGTTTTTTGTTTGTAATTCAATTTGCATTAAAACATAGTGAATGAATTTCACCGCCAGAATGCCACCCAATCATCAGTTCATGTTAAATTCCCTACCCATGGAGCCGGTATCGCGCACCTATCAATATCGCAAGATAATGAAACCAATGTTGGAGCGTAAACGTCGTGCACGGATTAACAAGTGTCTGGACGAGTTAAAGGAGTTAATGACTGGAACACTGCAGGCGGTATGTAGCATTAAACGAAAGCACTTAAGACTGTGATGGGAATTGAAATTGAAAAAAAATTTTGGAAAAGGGAAACAATTCGAGGAATGTAAGGATATTTGTGCAATACATTTGTAGTTTTGGGGAGGTTTCAAAAAGTTTTATTTGTTCATATCAAATTAAAAAAGGAAGAATTAAAAATAAAAAATGAATGAGCGATTTATAGTAATTTACCCCAAACCCCTTTGGCTTTTTATAGAATTATGCATTTTTGGTTAAATCCACAAGAGTTTTTATAGATTGTGTTGAAAATTAGACTATATGTATAGAAATAAACCTATGGGAAACCTTGGTTCGAAACATATAAATACCGACGGTGATAATATTGAAGTGTCAGCTATTACACAACTTTATTATTCTTTATTTAAAACATAAATTACAGTGTAGATCGTTTAGTATTCAAAATGATTTTAACAGTCATGCTCGGTCAATTCTAATTTCTTTCTTAGTTTTTAAGGTTCTTTCGAACCTCAAAAATACCTTAAAATCCTTGAAAGAAGGAGTTAGGTTTATACCAAGTGATTAGCAATGTCTATGGGATTCACATGATTCACATCATAGATATAAGGATTTCGGAGCAAAGGAGTTTCTTCATGCTGAGGTACCAGCAAAAATTAATCAGTCGGACTGGCTCGACTATATGTTGTCCTTCACCACTTTGTGTATATTCTACATATATAGTAACATAAAATTGAAAGAATTAAAATATGTGTGGGGTATAAGACGAATATATATATATGGGTGCTATATCTAAATCTGAACCAATTTTTCCCATAAGAAAAAAATAGTGAGCGGAGCAGTATAGTCGGGCGGAGTCGACCATTTGATAACCTAAACAACTTCCTTTAACTTTAAGTTCCTGTGGATCTATATTCCAAGCCTGAGTAAAATTACGCGATATTTGCCCTCTCTTAGCCGATTTTATCCTTTTATCCGAATAATGGTTTCCGGAGCAAAAATGTACTCCATCAGATTCAAATTTTGTTATTTTACACATAAACAATTTTGGTTCATTTAACCTCCTTCCTTCGCCTTCCCCATGGAAAATTTTTCTTGGTCGGCGACTAGAACACCCGCAAAAAATAAAGCTATCGGTCTACTTCATTCCCGAAATCATATAATCATCATCAAAAATTATAGGCGTCGTCTTGACCATAACCGGAACTTCAAGCAAAATATCCTAGGCAATATAAGAATACGTATATTATCCTAAATATTTAAGTTTGAGTGAGATAAGGGAGTTTATCAGAGTACATACATGCATATAATTGGAACTGTCCTCTTATCCGGCCTATGTCCTTCAGGAGTAAATATATACCCTATAGAATGTAAATGTTGGGGTCTATTTCACTCCCTATATATCGACCGATCTATATCAAAACAGGCACGCGTATACTTTGGGTTAATCCCCATAATTTCACGATGTTCGGGTTATAATTATACCCTACACAAATATGTTGTCAGAGTATTATAGCTTTGTGCAGCCCCAAGAGTTTGTAACGCCGCGAAATATTGGTCCTAGACCCTCCTTTAAGTATACCAATCGTCATATCTCGACTAGCTGAGTCGATCTAGTCATGTGTGTCCGTCTGTCCATTATAATTTGTAAACACGATAAAGGCCACAGTTATGGATCAATCTTCACGAAATTTTGCATGTAGGAGGGTTCTGGCCAATAAAGACCCCTATTGTTTTTGGTAAAGATCGGTTAATATTTAGAGGATGAAATGGACTAAATACTTAATTTTTGCCGGTTTTTCTAGTCGTTCCAGAGATCGCAATTACGGACCGAACATCTCGATATTTTACATGGAGAAGGGGGTCGGGCCAAGGAATAAGCATGCCTGTTTGGATAAAAATAAGTCATTATTTAGCGGGTCAAATGGACCCTGATTTTGTATGAAAAAAATTACAAAATGTGCATTCTATAGCGTATATATTTACCACTGAAGGACATAGACCCGAGAAGTTGACAGTATATCCAAGAGGAGTGGTTGGCCTTTAAATTGATACCAATTATATTGCCGTATGTACTCGGATGTGGGAGTTAACCTTAAATATTTTTAGGTGCTTACGAATTCAGCTATTATTTTGTAACCCATTACAACACTAGAGGGCGGAAATATAGCGCTGATCGCTTTAAAAATTTCCAGTATGTTCCAGTTATGGTAAATTTTCTATGATGTTCACATAAATAATTTGTGAGTAAGTGAACCGAAAACATAATTTTTGGTGTCGATTTATAGGCCACAAGCCGAACATTACAACACAACCCAAGGTGAAGGGAATCTGAATAAGTAATTAGCAGGGCTGTACTAAATATTGGTAATATTCGGAAAATATTTCAGTGTAAGGAAGAGGAGCTGTTGATCTCTAATCCGACAAAAGAGTGCAAATATCACGAAATATTGTCCAGGCTCGAAATAAACATCCGCAGAAAGATGGAGTTCCGTGGTAGTTGCTTAGGGTATCGTATGGTCGGCCCCGTCCGACTATACTGCTCCGCTCACTGGTTGTGGTCTATAGAGAGACCAGAAAAATATACAAAAATAAAGTTATTGAATATTAGAGAGATATGACGATCAGTATACTCGGTTATCTACAAATCGATCGGTAATCTACAAAAAAAACCAACATTAGGGGGGACCCTTATATGGAGGCTACCCCAAATAATGTAGCAAAATTGATATTTTTGGTATGCATATTTGCTACACAATGCACACTTAAAATACTAAATTACAGCTAATTTGGTCGCAGGTGAGACTAATATCTTCTAAGTTTGTCATCAGCATGCTGTGTTAGAAAAAACCAATTTTAGGTTTTTATTCAATTTTCAAAGATTTTTTCATATTATCGGCTATTACTGTTAAGTTTATGAACGTTCGCAGACGATCGCAAAATTCTGGACATTGAACATATCAAGGCGTCGATTGTTGCTAAAACCATTAAAATATCCTCTGGTACTGCTTGGCATTAGGTTTTGAAACTCCTTTTTTTAAATAATAACAGTTTTGAGTTTTATTTACGGTATTTTTTATTATTATCTTCAAATTAATGATAAGTTTCACTGCTGCAGAGTTTTTTCCTGAAAAAAAAAAAAAAATTACAGAATAATAATATTTTTCATTTGTAAAATTTTATACAATTATACTATAATTCAATACTATAAGAAACATATTTATATTATTATCCTTCTTTTCTTTTCAGGACGGTGAAAATGTTTCGAAATTAGAAAAAGCCGACATTCTCGAGCTAACCGTACGCCATTTACAACGCTTGCGTGAGAAAAATGCCCTCTATGTACGACACAATGACACATTGAATATGGAAAAATTTTGGGCTGGATTTCAACATTGTGCCGCCGAGGTGGCCCAGTATTTAAATAAATTTGATCATCAGTTGGGTGGTGATCTCATTCAACACATTACAAGTTATGCACCAAATATAAATGCTATGGCCGTCAGCAGTCTGCAACCAAATGTAGCAACACGTCTACCCTCATCTGCCTATTTGGCTAATCGTGTAGTAACAGCAAATTACCAAAGATTACCGCTTAATAATAAGAAACCACTGATTTCCAATATTTCACCTGCAATTCCCAATAGTGGTAATAGCGATGGTGTGATGGTGGTTAGAGACGTTCACGATAGTCCAAACTATTCAACGGAACATATGGTGAAAAAAGAATTAATGGATGATCATGATCGTTCAGTGTGGAGACCATGGTGATGGGTAATTTTAAATTAAACGTAATGGGGGGCTAATATTGGGAATTAATGTAAGTGAAAAATAGTTTTAAGCAAAATTTTCTGTATTACTTTCTGTGTGTTAAAATATATTGTAAACTGTGATTTTCTGGAAAAAATATTATTATTAAACTTAAATTATGAAATTGTTCTTGTTTTTCGAAATTATATCCACTGAGAATCGTAGAGTGTAGTAATTTATAAATGCGGAAATTCGAAATTAGAGAACAAAAATTAAAATAAAAATCAGATATTCGAAATTATAGATCATTTGGTAGTAAAGGTACTAGTAGTGTCAACAATTGCACATTAATTACATTTGTTGTGAATTATTCGAAATAGTGGACAGTTGAAATTAGAATTGCAATTCTACAGACAATTTGCAAAAAATTATGACTAAACCATTAAATTATTAATGGCTTAATTAATCAACGTGGAATAATGTCGAAAAATATATTACATGCACGATGACCTCGCTGTTATTATTGAAAGCTATGATCTGTGACATTTAATCCCGAAGATTCGTTTGGGACTGGATATACCAAATGATGAACAGAACAAAATACTCCATTCTAAACATACAAAACTTATGGGACTAAATTTAGCAGTAAAAGCCTCAAGAATGATATAGTGGCAATTATATCATGTATTCTGTATTCTGTTTATATTAATCGAAATAAACAGCGTTAAATATTATAAGCTTATAAAAGTCGGATCGAATTGTAGCAACATTTTTGCGGGACCTCTATATGTATTTACAAACATTGACCTATATTGATAAGTATTTTTAGCAGGAAAATGGAATGCCAAATTACAGCCTTTTCGAGTGGAAATGCGCCTATTACACTCAAAATTCTGATAATTATGAGAGATTTTACATTTGGAATATTTCAAAAGATGGTCCTATAATGACCCGTTTCAAAAACTCGAAATGCTAAATTAGAGCCCGTTTTTCCGCAACCCTCCAAATACCGAAATTTGGGCAGGACCAACAAATGGACCTGTGTTGTTAATTTTCTGAGTGGATATATGCCAGACTCCAAATACCTGGTATAGCAAAATGCAGCCTCGGATGGACAATTAGACGTTATTTTTATATGGAAGCTATACCAAAATGGACCGAAATGTCCCGTTTGCAATACCCGACTTCCTAAGAGTAACAACAATGCAAAATTTCAAAGCTTAAATATTATCTTAAATATTACAATATATATCGAGGACACATATGGACATGGTAAAGTTTTTATAGCTTATAAGGTCTGCGAATATTTCGAGATGTTGCAAGTATACGATGGTGGTGGGAATAAAAAACGTATGGTCCTAGTCGCATTTTCCAACCGAAGTGTCTGTAATTTGGCATTTCGAGTTTTCGGTGCATAACAAATCAAACGGACATTTGTAAATCGACTCCAAATTGTCTGAAGTGGATTTGGTTTAAAGAAACATGGATTCTAAAATCAATATTGCCGTAGTATTAGTCATAAGGCTGAAGGTATAAAAACACGCCCGATTAAGAACAGTATAAATACTAGACTCAATTAAATAAGCAATGGACGATTTCGTGTAAATCGAAGAAAAAAATAGTTAGCGTAGAAGTAAAGTAGAATCTAACTTTCTGCGTTTGGGCAATATTTTGCGATATTTGCACCCTCTTGACCAATTATACATCAACGGTTCTACATTATAACCCAGTCATATTTTCCAAATTTTATTTTCCCGAGGTAAATATTTACTCCATAAAATAAAAATTTAGTCACTTTAGGGCTTGGTTGATTTGACCCTCGGAGTATTGATCGATCATCTTCTAAAAGCCGTTCTAAGTATTTGGTCAGATCCCATTCATCGTGTAAAATATAAGATTGGGAAAAAATAAATCCACGACTGTTTTTTGGCAAATGGCTGTACTGATAGATTTCTCGTAAAGTATCGATCAAACAAGTTCAGATTACATTTTACAGTTTTTCTTTGACAAAGGCGAAAATGCAAGCCAAGCGGCTAAAAATGTGAATGGTTTTTATGGTTCCGACACTGTAATAGCCAATTATGTACAATTTTGGTTTCGTAGATTTCGTTCAGGAATTTTTGATGTTAAAGATGCATGTCTATAAAATCGTGGAAATTATCGAAGTTGACCGGCATGTTAGCAGTCGTAACATCGCCCAGGAATTACATATTGACCATAAAACTGTTTTAAACCTTTTACAATTGACCAAAAACGGCTAGAATTGGCCAACAGGAGAGGTTTCGTGTTCCACCAGGACAACGCTAGGCCACACACATATACAGTAACTCGCCAGAAACTTCGGGAACTTGGTTGATAAGTTCGGACTATATGACATCCGCTATAAAGTCCGGAGTTAGCACCAAGCGATTATCACATTTTTCTTGCATTGCAACATTTCTTTAATGATAAGAAATTGGTATCTAGGGATACCATCGACTCAATTATATAACAAAACGGTGCATATTTGAACATTCGGACATTCCGAAGCATGTTAATTAAAGTCCTATAGTTCATATAAAAATAATGGATTTCTTTTTCCCAAACCTAATATTTTTACAACGTATGGAATATTACACAGAGTGGACCGAGGCGACACATCTTTGAACATGATTTAAGTTTAAAAGAAATATTACGATATGTATCAAATCGGACACTCCATACGATTGTTATTGGATTAACAAAACATTGGCCTGTCCTGTTGACTTAGAGTTGATAAAAATACGACGATGTGTAGAGTTTTGGTCAAATCGAGCATTAATAATGAATTTATAAAAAATCAATTCAAATAAAATCCGAATACGAATAAAAAATTGTGAATTTTGGGGAGTAGACCGATATTTCCCATCTTCGATCTTGATTTAAGATTGAGCTCCTAAAACAATATTTTTTCTAGAAAATTACAGAAATTATTTATATATTAACAAATACATGTAAAAAATGGCCAAATATTATTTAAGAATCTTCACTTCTATCGATCAGAAATAACTTTAATTTACTACCATTAAATATGTAACTAAATATTAATTAGAAATCTATCAAAAAAAAAAAAAAAAAAAAAATTAATAAACATATTGGTATTGTATTTTTTTAACCAAAAATAAAAAAATAATAATTTCTACATAGTTAACAATGCTAAGGACTGAAGCTTTAATTACGATTATTATAAAAAATATGCATTACAAATATAATAAAATATAGTTTTAAACTACAAAGTAGTTGTTATATATTTATATCAGTAAGAATCATATACTCACCCCCTTATGAAAAAATCAATGTAAAACACTTAATGTTTATATTTTATTAATAATTTATTTTTATTTTTTATTGTTTTGATGTTTTTTATTTTTATTTCATTTTCATTAAGATAAATTTGTATTTTATAACTCATTTTAGATTTTCTTTTTACTTCAAATATAATTTTCTGTATTCACTTGCAAAAAACAGGGAGAAAATATACAATTTGTTATAATACTTTATTAAAAAATAAAATTTCTTGCAAAATAAAGTTTATAAAAATGCTTAGTTTCGCATATGTTTTTTTGTTTGTTTTGTTTTGCTATTAATAATATTTAATTTGAAAATTTTTATTATTTTACTTTCACAAAATTTGTATATTTTTATATATCATTTTAAATTTATTGTTTTTAAAACGGACCTAACAATGCTTAAATTATGATTTAAAAAAAAAATAATTATCTTTCTTAGAAAAAAGGAATTTGTATAACATAAAAAAGTGTATTGCTTTAATATAATATTAATTTTTTTCATTTTATTATTGTTTTTCTAATTTGTTTTTCTTTTCTTCCTTATTTATATATCGTTTTCATTTTCATTTCGGCTGAAACAGTTTCGGTTTATGGCTTAAGGTTGTAGTTTCTTATGTTTATTCTGCTTCTCTTTCTTCGGTAATTTACTGTAAATGAATTTAACTTCATAAAATAGTTTTGTTTTCTGTTTTCTTTTAAACTATTTTAACCAGAATTGTTTTCATTATTCTTGTCATGTTTTCTTTTGTTAAAAAGCAGTTTTCGGTGTTTTCATTTCATTGTTATTTATTTTGTCAAAGAGTTGTTTTCCTTCCTTTTAATTATATATAGTAGATTATTTTAAAAAAATATTTAAATATTTATAACTATAAAATGATTTTTTATATGTACAGCTTAATTGAGATTAATTCAAGTTTAGTTGTATGCAACCATTTATAAATTTGTGATGGTTTTTTTTCGTAGATTTTTGAACAAAAAGTTAATTAAAAAATAACAAATTTTATTATATATTTCTTATCAAAACTAACAACTTAGATCGATATAAATACTGGCTGATCATGTAAATTCCAAATTCACCCGCACCATAACGAAAACCTTCAACATTTCATATGGACCTATAAACTGATGGTACTCAACTAGAACTCTATAGCATTCAATATAATTAAGAAGAAATATGGACAAGTCATGGGTTTTTTATACCCTACAAAATAATGTTGGCAGAGTATTGCGACTTTTGTGTGGACCCAAGAGTTTGGAACGTCGCGAAATACTGGTCCTAGAACCACAATATCTCGACCAACTGAGTCGATCTAGACATGTGTGTCCGTACGTCTATTATAATTTTTAAACACAGTTATGACACAAATTAATGAAGTTTAAATTTTGCATAATCGATTTTTGGATCTACCCAATTAATATATGGCGCTGACGACGATTTAAACCCTAATTGAAAGGACAGTACCACGGAATTTTGTAAGTTATTTCATAAAAAAAGAACGCTGCGCCAGCGCCATCTATTGATCGGGATGATTTATGTCACGCACATAAGTTCTTATAGATACCAAGCAACGACTCTGATTGGCTTTAATATGGCTAAGCTCAGGCTTATCTTGGCCCCTCATTCATCTCAATTGTGGACAGTTGCCCGTCGGGACAGTTGCCCGCACTCGGAAAAAAACAATACTATGAAAAAGCAACGATATTACACAACAC